GTTGCACCCCTATATATATAAATATACATATACAAAATAAGATAAAAAGGAAAAACAAAAGAAAAAATAAATTGTGGGTATTGCTACATACAAAACTACACATTCAGCCGTAGCAGAGTGATTGTTGCTGAAAAAATAATAGCGATTAATCGCAAAAATATCTTGAGATTAAAATTTTTAATCGTGATAAATCTTTGTCCAACACTAATAAAAAGCAACAGTGCAATTTCATCATAAGTCAAGCTCATATTTATCTCTAAATGAGGGCTGCAGCAGCTCAGTGGTCGGTGTTGGGGTCTCATATTTCTGAGGCTGCAGTTTGCATCAGGTGAAAAGCTGCTGCCAGGACTACAGCAGCAGTTTGCATTCTGTGGTCTAAGTGTAAAATATGACCTAAAGCATGAATGTGTCTCTAGTTTGAGCACATTTGAGTACAATTGTTTTGAATGACTAAGAATCTACATCCTGTTTTGTTGTCAGAGACAAGGGCCTTTTATGTTTTTAGGAGCAAGAATTTAAAAAAGACCAGAGTTCGTTAAAAAAACAAATAAATAAAGCCATGCCTTTGAGAAAAGAGGGAAGTCATTTTCTTCCTTCCAGTCGAAGGTGAAAGCTGGACAGTTCCAGTCTGGAGTCTGAGAGATTTGTCTGTGCCCCCAGACAAAGACCAAGAATAACCCTGTCCCTTCCTGTGACCATCTCTGCTACGTCCACACATATTTGTTACTCATAGCTGCAGCGCTCATGAGTCACCTCTATCCTTTAATGCTGTGATCACATGTCTGCCTCTGCATCCATGTTTCACTCATAATCTCTGACGTTTTCATAGAAACGTTTTTGTTAGCGTACAGTCAGCTGTCTGCAGATGATCGGCATGAGTTCTTTCATTTTCACAAACCAAAGAGGACAAATGTAATAAAATTGTGGAAAACAATGACTTTTATGTTTTCATATAATAGGAAATGTCAGTAAACTCTAATAAAACATAAATAAGATGATCCACATTGTGTTTTTGTTTTAGGTTTTTAACACGGCCGTTGAACAGGGTCATGATTTCAGAGGAATTGTAAAGTTTGGTGTTTTTACTGGTGTCTTATTATAGCTTAGCATAAAGCTTAGCTTGCTGCAGTTATCATGTGTGTGTGTGTCTGTGTGTGTGGTTTTATCACTTGAACCACTGCTTCTGCATTGTTTAAAGATACATAATGGTGATAATTAAAATTTGTGCAAGTATAATATCACCACTGTATGTGTGACTGACTGCAGTAGAGCGATGTATGAGGCTAGCATGGATACTAGGAGTGAAGCTAGCAGTAGGCTACAGTAAAAACAATAAGGTTTACTGTACATGTTTATCAGCAGAAAGTGCAGGGATAGGATCCAGGTAGTCCAGTGTTGGTCTTTTACCATTAATAAAATGTTTGGAGCAGATGTTGAGTCTTTGGTTGCACTCTTTCTAGTCAAATTCAGCTCGTCTCATCATTTGAATCCAACTGTTAGCCTAGCATCTTAGCTTGAGAAAAGTGATCAAAAATACTCATTTCATGTTGGGATGATGGCTGTATCCTGAGTCACTGTTAGAAGAACAGTAGCACAATGATTTGTGGTCCTTCCTGTGGAGTTTAACGCTGTTTTCACAAATTTCTTTAAGTTTGAACACAACTAAACTGGCACCGTGCATTAGTGTTGACCGGACATGGTCACGTGACTAATGTTCTAAAAATAGCCTGAGTTTAGTTTTATTTATGGTACCCCAGCTCTGCCTCAGCAGAGACTATTCTTCCTGGGGATCAACAAAGAAAATAAGTCAATACAAACAAAACAATGCAATCAACAAAACAACACAATTAAAATAAAAAATAAAATTGACATAAAAGTTAAAACAAAACAAAAAAGCCAGTGCAAACCTCCAACAAGGAAACGTCAACATGAGATCTACAACCAAAAAACCACTGGCATAAAACCAGAGGATTCTGATGTTATCAGTCCATGAAATGGACGTTATTAGGTGTTATCAGTCCCATACAATGGCTTCAGAGGGTCCCTACTGTGCCTTCTAGGCTTCAGGCTGTCCCGACAGTGCCCCCTAGTGGGTTAATATATCAATGACAATGAATGTGTAAATATCCAAAAGATATTGTAATAAATTTTTTGTGTCTGTGTCGGTCTCGAGCCATGGTCTCCCCTCTCTGGTCCGACACTCAATATACAGCCATTGGAGGGTGGTGTCTTTAGCGCTAACCATGTCATTTGCGCTAACGTTAACCTTAGTGGATTTAAGCCTCATATTAACCAGTTTTTTTATGCCTCATATTAACCAGATAGTGGTTTTATGCCTCATATTAACCAGATAGTGGTTTTATGCCTCATACTAACCAGATAGTGGTTTTATGCCTCATATTAACCAGATAGTGGTTTTATGCCTCATACTAATCAGCTGACAATCAGAAGCCATTCTATGGGACGGGGAACCTGCTAACCGGCACATGTGGGACATTCTGAAGCCATTCTAGGGGACTGATAACGCCTAATAACGTCCATTTCATGGATGATAACATCCGAAGCGGGTGCATAAAACTCCTTCAAAGCACTTAAGATAAAAACATCAACACACAAGTTCAAGATAAAACAACCAATCCAATGCCGTCAAATTCAGTTCAAGGAACAAAATTGCATGGGAAAATCACTATTACATTGAAATTCAGTGGCTTGATGGATTCAAGAACTGTTTTTATTGAAATACTATTTTATGATCAATTTTGAAGGTCCCCATTGCTACAATGTGAGTGCTGCAGGAAGAAGCTGAAGCTAAATTGCTAAAGCTAAAACAATCAAGTCTTAGCTAAGCTAATGGTCAAAAGTTGCAGAAGCGTAGCTAATAAAACAAAAGGCTAGCTAGAAGCTAAAAGTAGCATAACAACATAAAATAGTCATTTTGCTGAATCAGATTTCAAAGATTTTATTTTGTTTACAACTGAATTAAAGAGCTCCTGAAGTGTTTCAATGTAGACAACATTTGTAAACAAAGTTTTTTTAATAACCTCCATCTGTTTTAGCGTTACAGATTATTTTTATACTGTTAAACTACAACAACAAGAAGAAACTGGAGAAAAAAACCCAACCCTTTCCTCTGATCATTTAGCAGCTTCAGCCATTTGATGTTAAAATTCAAAGCTGTGGTTTTTGCTATTTTTTCCTCTGCTGGCACCTTTTTGTTCAAGAAACGGCAAAAAATGAGGTCAGATACAGAATAGCTGCACACAAAATAATTATGGCTGGTGTTTATACAAATGAAGCAATTTCAAGCTTTTTTTAAAGAACATTTTTAGAACATTTTGACTGGAATGATTTCATACTACAATATTACATTTTGCTGCAGATCTGCAAACTATTAGTTTTAATTAGCCATGGCCACTGAGATCATCTGCAGATGCTTTGATCTTTTGTATAAAACCATTTAAAAACTTCATCCACAGGTTCAGAAATGAGAGACTGGGATAGAGATTAAAGATTAAATTCTTCCTATTGAGTTATTTTGCCCAGAAGCTCATTTGACATCTTTCTAAAGAAAATCATCCTCAAAATATGGGTCACTCCAGGGGGAAAGAATGAGATATTCATGCTGCTTTATATGCCATTTATGTGCCTTTTGGAGAAAACTTAATCCACAGCACCATACAGTCTCAGAAGTACCTACATATTTAGCATTACCCAGTGGGAATTAAAGCGCCAACTCTGAAAGCCTCTGAGCGCCACGGGGCTTTTTATGCACGGCCACAAAAACCTGTTTTCAGTGGCTCATCAGAAGCAGAAAAGAGCCAGCCTGCAGGTCTGAAAGCAGGCTAAATGTCAGCGCATTTTTTAAGTATGTGTGCTTCAAAGAGCCATTTATATTACAGGTATCCTACAAAACAGAGGCATTCACTTTTAAAACCCAGTTCAAGTGCACTCAGAGTCCTCCCAGCTGTTGATCATTTTAAACATTGGTTGTGTTGAGAACCGCTCAGGCTGCTGCTAAAATCATTCCTCGTGTGACCTAATTCCAGCTATAATACGTCCTTCTAGTCTCAGCTTAGCTCGCATGAAGATGGTGAAAACGTCGGCTGTTCCGACGACAGCTCTGTGTTACTCATCTCAGGCTGCGTGCAAACAGTGTCTCTGCATCAATAATTCACAATGCTGCATCTTCATGTTCTGGGAAATAATGATCTAAAATATGCCACTGAGTGTTGCTGTTTGTAAAAGTGTTGAAAACGGGGTTGAAACTAGAGAAATATTTCAAGTCAGCACAACAGTGAGGATCTGAGATTCTCTGTGTGAAATAAAAGTGACTTTTTTCTGTAAATTGACAGGATGATGGAAAAGAGAAGGATAGGATCTGTTTTTAAATATGTATCCAAGCCTGGGTCACAGAAAAACCCTTCCTGTGCTCCCACTGGTAGATCTTCAGGCTTCCAAATATGGTGCAGTATGAGGGCCAGAATTAAGACTATTGTGCAACCACCGGTTGCTACATCCTTGTAGCAGGAGACTAAATCTATTCCTAAGCCAACTATTGATCTGATTAATGATAGGCCGACACTGCTAACTGAGCAGCTGGCCCCGCTAACTGAGAGGCCGGTGCTGGTAAACGAGGAGGAGACTATTAGTGTGAGCATTGAAGAGGCTAGCAACTAGCATGGATAAGCTGTGTTAGCATTGGAGAGGCTAGCAACTAGCATAGAAAAGTTGGTGTTAGCATTGGAGAGGCTAATGACTAACATGGATAAGCTGGTATTAGCATTGGAGAGGCTAGCAACTAGCATAGGTAAGCTGGCTTTAGCATTGGCGAGGCTAGCAACTAGCATAGAAAATCTGGTGTTAGCGTTGGAGAGGCTAGCAACTAGCATAGATAAGCTGGCGTTAGCCTGGAGAGGCTAGCAACTAGCATAGATAAGCTGGCTTTAGCATTGGCGAGTAGGGCTGCAACGAGTAATCGATTAATTGACGACTTATCGATTATTAAAATAATCGATGACTAATTTAATAATTGATTAATCGTTTTCTTTTTTTGTTGTTCTTTACTTTGTTTTTCTCTCCAAACTGCTCTGACACCTTCCACTGCCACATCTGCCTTTCTGTCCTTGACACACATGCACAGTAGTGGTAACTGGGGTAGGCCGTGGACGTCACAAGACATTATACAGACAGGCTCTGGTATCATGGCTACCTGACAAAGCAGCTCAAAAGTGTGGGAGCATTTTAAGAAAATGAAAGAGAAACCTGTGTAATATCTGCAGAGCAGAACTTACCTTCCACAGCAATTATTTTTAGTTAGCATATAGCTAAAATCTAACCATTGTTATATAATAGCAGCTGCATTCTGACACGATAAGCTCTATGTTTTATATTCAATTAACGTATGAGAGACTAGCAACTAGCGTAGATAAGCTGGCATTAGCAATGAAGAGGCTAGCAACTAGCATAGAAAAGCTGGTGTTAGCATTGGAGAGGCTAGCAACTAGCATAGATAAGCTGTGTAAGCATTGGAGAGGCTAGTGACTAGCATGTCTAGACTGCTTACCTACTTTATTAGACACTAACTGTTTTGAATAAAAAAAACTTTCTCTATATGTTTTGTCTTTCTTATCGAAGTAACAAAGTATAAAAAGTAGGTCAAGTTTTGATCTTATGGTTTTGTCTGTGTGTCCAGAGAAGGCACTCTGAGTCCCGGTGATCGTCTGTTAAGTGTTGATGGCGTTCCGCTGCATAACGCCAGCCACAGCGACGCCCTCAGCGTGTTGGCTCAGTGCGGCCAGGAGGCTCTGTTTCAGATCGAGTACGATGTCACCATCATGGGTGAGAAGCTGCACAAACACTGAACTCTTCAGGGATATTTTTCCTTAGAAAAGTCAAGAGAAAAACGATTTGTTGTTTCCCTCTTCAGACACGGTGACAAATGCTTCTGGTCCATTGTTGGTGGAGATTGCTAAATCACCAGGAGCGACGCTGGGCATCACGCTGACATCAGCAAATCATAGAAACAAACAGGTCATTGTGATCGACCGGGTAAAACCTGCCAGTGTAGTGGACAGGTATGTATACTCAAACATTAGAAATGCAGCTCAAGCTATAAAAAAACATTTCAGGTTTGCTTTCAGGTACTTTAGATCGTCTCTAACAAAAACACACACAGACACTTGCAGAGGCTGTTTCCAGACCTGTAACTAACACAGACAGTAGAAAAAGGATGATGCCTCGAGCAGAGCCTCAGTCTGCTTTTAAAAAATACATGAAGCACTTGAACTCAGTGTTAAAACAAGCTCTGAAATCCCCTCGGTCAGCGGAACAGGTGGGCTGTAAAAAGTCTGTATTTACTCACACATAAAAGGGGCAATATCATATAAAATGAACTTTGAGTTTTATATCATGTTTTAATGTTCTCCTCTCATCAAAAACATGTCCAGATTCTTACTTGGACTCATTTACAGATTAGTTGTAACGTATTTACAGATTAGTTGTAACGTATTTACAGATTATTTGTAAAGTATTTACAGATTAGTTGTAATGTATTTACAGATTAGTTGTAATTTATTTACAGATTAGTTGTAACGTATTTACAGATTAGTTGTAACGTATTTACAGATTTGTTGTAAAGTATTTACAGATTAG